AACTGAGTAACATGGGGTATAAGAAAGTTTGAGATTATAAACCTAACCTTGACGTTAATGTGTTCTGTAACCCTGGGCAAGTTACTAAGTTTTTCTGAATCTCCAGCTATAAAATAAGAAAGTTGATCTCACTTCTTCTAACTCTAAGTTCCTATAAAATATTTTTATTAATCATTTCCATACACATCTTTGTTATGTCTAGACTACTTAAGAATAAATTTTTAGAAACCAAGAACTGCTAAAATGAAAAAAGAACCATGAGGAATATTTATCAAAACCAATTTGATTTTATCTTCTGGGACTTGGAAATTTGCACCTCTGTGCAATGACTGTACCCTGAGTAGTTGAGCCTTTTAATCAGAAATTCACCACAGAAAATGCCCACAAACAGTTGCTTTGGTGGCTGAAATTTCTTAATCTTTACTGCCCCATTTAGTCTTCCAAACCTCCCAATAAATTCCTTTCTATTTTTCCTTAGGATAGCCATGTTTCTATCCTGTTATCAAAGAACCTTAATTGGCATATCACACATCATCCAAGGCCCCACTTGGATCCCAAGATTCCTTGAAAACTTTTGGGATACATTGGCCACTAGGGTAGTGAATTCTCTATCTCTGGTGATGGTGTTAATTATTTCATCCCATCCACAACATCTGCTGTATTGACACCTATACTTGACTTCCCACATGCTTCCATTCTTCATCTGTTTACTAGTTTAGGACATAGGAACCCTACAGTGTAGAATAAATCCCTTGATAACATGAATATGCATGTCATATAACTGACTCCCATCTTCCACCAACACCCATTCTCCAATGAAGTAGAACTAAAATTCTTATCCTTTGAGAGTACTGTTTTTCCTTGACTTTGTGATAACACATTTCCAGGATTCACATGATTGATGATGCTTTGATAGGTTTATGGTACCTCTTTTTATCCCCCCAAGGAGCTTGGCATAAGCACTGGTCACAGGCAGTACTTACCAGATAGGTGTGAATTCAATGCCCTGACATCGAAATGTCCCCTGACCCTTAGAGGAGTCATTGATGACTGGTGGAACAGACTACCAGGTAGTTTCCTCAAGGATGGAGCAAAGCCAAAAGGAACGACACCCTTGAAAAGCCAGCTGAAGCCTCAAGGCTGTCCATGTATGAATTTGAAAGGTATTTCTTCCTCTCTGTCCTTGCAATTCTGCACATGGGGACAACTAATTAAACAGAGAGCCAGCTGGACTACAACTTTCATTCAACAGTTGTTATGGTACTTTTGTCCTGAGCTACCCCTGAACTGACAAAAAGTCAAACTTTCCAAGATTTCCAAAGCTTTCCAAGATTGAGCTTTGTCTTTTGTTCCCTCTTTCCCACAGCCCTGCCTAAACACCACACACCAGTGGATGACAGGCACGGGCACTGGGCTTAGTGAACAAACCTACCCTCAGGTAGACTCTGCTCCAAGGGCACCAGACACCTCCTGTGCACTATTCAGATAATTCAGGGATTTGGCTTTGCGTTGCAGTCCAGCCACCACTGTGATGATAAACTTCCCAGAGTCTAAGAAGTCCATGTGGGCAGTACAGACAGCACTCGGTCCCGTAACTGCTCCATGTACTTCACTGTTGAATCTGAGGTGACGGATGCCATTGTGCCCTCTTGACACCCAACCAGGTTCACCACCAGCAGTGTGGGGGAATTAGATTTACATGGGGAGACTTTGAACAAAGGGTGAGGGAACTAAAAGATAGGTTTCCCCCTCTCTCTTCTGGACAGGATGTCCTTAGAAATAGTCTCATGTATTATTTCTCAGAAGACTCCATCAACCACACTTGAGCCCATAAAGTTGTCAGCTTGGCAATGTACTCCGTCCTTCTATGATGCACCCCCTTACCGTCACTCTCGCTCCCTGAGTTGTGATCTTTAATAACAGGATTTAGGTTTTGGTCTTAGGGTCTAATTTTTGAGAGAGCCAACCTAAGGCTAGTATCCTATTTTTCCATTCTGTGGTTTTTGGCATTCCATCTTCCCATAAAACTAAAAAATCTTGTGGGCGCAGGTAAAGTCCTAGAATTCCTTTATGTGTGTCCAAAATACATACTTCTGTCCTCATATTCTTTGCCAATGAGCCTTCACTAAATACTTCTGACCTGTGAAAGGCAAGCCACAAATGGTGATTAGAGGCTACAGTGTACAAAAGGCCTTCCCTCTCCAGGTTCTTTTGTAGCATGGCCTCTGCAGAGCCAAGCAGATACATAGTGCTGGCCAGTGGATGCCCCAGAGGTCCCCCTGGGAGAAGTCAGCAGAGGAGCACCTAAGATATGGGTTCCCACCAGAAACATGCATGAACTATGTTTCCGGGAGACACAGGAATTCAGATGCCTCTCTATGCATGCACCTGGTGAAAACAAGGGGCAGCAAGTCCTCAGGTAATTCCGCATCTCATCAACTCCTCTCTCCTGTTTTTCACAGTGTGGCAGATATTATGAAATTTGGCAATTCCTTAATCTTAAATTTCTCTTTACAAAGGAGGAAAAATCTCTCTCTCTCTCTCTCTCTCTCTCTCTCTCTCTCTCTCTCTCCTCTCTTTCTCTTTCTTTCCGAGAATTAAATGATTTAACAGAAAGAGGACCTCACAAATTTCTGCCTCCTTCTTCCACCACTACCACTTGCATCTTATGCATCTTGTGTGCTCCTTGCCTTCAAGATTCACACACTAACTTCATCTCTGTAGTCTCGTAACTGGGTTCCCCCTTCTGCCTTGCCCCCACTTCAGTCTATTCTCATCACAATAGTTGAAATATAAGCCAGACCATTTCCCTGATCTCTTCAATCTGCCATCCCATGGCTCTCCAGCTCCCTCAGAGTCGAAGCAAAATCCTAACAAGGGCTATGAAGCCCTAGGTAATCTCCCCCACCACTCTGGCAGCTACCATCCTTGCTACTCAGCTACGCTGAGCTCTTTGCTGTGCCTTCAACACCAGACACACTTCTGCCTCGGAACTTACAAATATTGTTCCTTTAGTCAGGAGGGCCATTTCCCCAGATGCCTTCATGGCTTACTCCCTCATCTCTGTAGGTCTGAATTCAAATGCCATCCTTTCATTGAGGGTTTCACTGGTCATTGTATCATCCCTCTAATGCTACTGCTCATTCCCTGCTGTGTTTCTCTCCTTCATACTAACAACCATTAAATTAAGTAGATATGTGATTGATTGATCCTGTTTCTTCCTGGCTATACTCTCCAATTTTGCAGCTCTAGGTGGTTGGTTCACTAATCTCTTGGAGCTCTATCTTCCACTTAGTAGATGATCAATAAACCTTTGCTAAATAATGAACCCTACTTTCCCTCTAGTATGTTTATCTGATGTGTCGCAAATAACAAACTAATCTTATTTCATTCCTTGCTATGTTTTTTGTCCCTAAATATAAATAAGAAAATGAGCTATGATTAGTGGGGTCCAAAAGCAAATAGGCCTTGTATATAATAGGGCTGAACATTTTAAATCATGGATGAAGATAAGCCCCCTACAAAATGAGAATGTGCTCAAAACTTCAAAGCAAATTAAATGTTCTACAACCTATAATTAGGAATTAAAGTCAAATAGAATAAACTTAACTCTTTTTTATTTCTTAAAAATACTCTTCTGAATAGTTTCAAGTCCTGAGAAATTTGATAAGCATCCAGGAACAGATGTTTCAGGGAATTAGGTTTCTTAAAATCTGGATGGACTATACATTGGTATAAAAGGAAACCTATCTAATCATTTTTAAGAATTGAATTTGAGGTTTTTCAAAATAAGAAACTGTATTGGATTATTTTACCCAAACTTCTTTTCCTTATTCTCATTCCTTATATAACACATTTCCACATGGAACTCAATATGATATCCATTTGCTCAATTTGATATCCAAAAGTCAATTTGCTATTGTATTTTCACTGTGAGACTCCTAGACAACATTCATTTACCAAACTGGGCCCTTCGCCAAGTGCATCTCAGAGTGTGGCACTCTTGGCAAGATGATACCACCAATAATTACATATTGCCCAGTCCTCACCTCTGCATTAATCGAGAAGCAGTAGACACAGTCCTGACCTCTATACCAGTGGAGAGAGAAGATAGGAAGTGTGAAGGCTGACTAACCGTAGTCATCAAAGACAATTACTAGGCTTCAATAGTGTTAATAAGGGACAAAATCAGCAACTTAGGGAGGAGAGGCCTAGAGAGACCTTGAAAGGAAGAATAAGTTTTTAAAAAGCACCGGGGAAAGGAAATAAGACAGAGGAATTGAAGACCCAGGGGAAGGAATGGCAGGAAATAAATATGTGTACTTGACTGCAGCAGACAGGGCTGTTGTAAAGATGGGAATTTAATTAATGTTAAAGGAAAAGTGGAAGCTAATATATAATCATCTTGGTTGTCTTAAATAAAATCAATACTGTAACTAGTAATAAAGGTTGACCAGATACACCTTCAGGCAAGCTAGAGATCATTTGGCATAAAATATGACGCACACACTCCTCCCTCCCATAATATCACCACTTAAGGAGAAGCAACGACAATGCATGAAGATGAGAACAACAGCACATAGCAGTTGAACGAGTGTCAGAATGAGTGTCCAAGATGCAGAAAGTTTCTAGAAAAGACACACAGATGTTTTTCAGAACAGTTGAGAAGAATTCCTGGGGGTGAAGAGACTTAGCTGTTTCTATGAGAGTTCTCATGAAAAAAGAGAGTTGAAGGGACTCTAGCCAGCAGGAGGGTGTTGACCTGGTGAGAGTCATCTTGCTCTACGAACCTCTCTATATATCTTAGCCACTAAGATATATGTAAATAAACTATAAGATATAAATAAACTATGGTTGTGTCAAGTAAATCACTGGTGACACACAGGCAGGGAGGAAACGGAGCAGCTATAGCTTATTCAAGGCCCTTAGTCCCTCAGTCTTCCTTGGACCTGCCACTGTGGGCAGGAGCAGCATTCAGTGGTTGTGCGAGTGTTATGGCAGCAACCTCCAGTTTGGCTGGCATCGTCACACACTTGAGTATTTCCCTCAGCATCTGCAAAGGACAGGGGTGGGGAGGAATATCAGACTTCAGAACTTGAGGAAAGAGGACAAAGGCAGTGCAATTTCCAATACCATGAATTTTATCTTGTGGCCACCCATAAAAAATAAGTTCATGGAGAGTCTGAAATGCTCTTCAAAGGATAGCTTTCTAATGATGTCCTTTTCTTCATGGAGACATCATTGTTTGCATCTTTTAAAGTTAGTTACAGGCCAGGCATAGTGAGACAGCCTCTCACTAACTTTTTCATCGTAAGCTGGACAAGGTGGCATGCCTGTTACCCAGCTACTGGAGGCATAGTTGGAAGGATTACAGTTTGAGGCCGTCCCCAGGAGGGAAAAAAAAAGGTGAGAATCTATCTGAAAAATAATTGGAAGCCAAAAAAGCTTCTGGGTGTGACTCAAATGGTAGAGTGACTAACAAGTGCAAAGTCCTGAGTTCAAATCTCCTGCCACTAAAATAATAATTACAAAGTACAAATATTTTTTAAAACACTAGAAAAATTTAATTTTAGGTAGCTGGTAATAAGAACAAATTTGTCTGTTATAGCAAAGCCAAGATTTTATTTGGAAACTCTAAATGCCTAGCAGAGGAAAATTGGAAGGAATTTTCTGTAGCTGTCAGGCTCTAAAGCACCATAGGACCCACAGGCTAAAAGAATCCAGTGAAAAAAATTTACAAGCATCTACTCCTGCCCTCAGGTTGCTTGCAAATGTCACTGCTCTAGAAGTAAATAGGAAATCATTAGGCTGGCAAATTCATCAATTGGAAATATCTCAATATGTTACAATATACCAAGCTAAACAGACATCTCTGTGTGAATAAAAATAGAAGTATAACTCCCATCAAATGCCCCATGATGCAGTACTGAAGACATGAGAGACATCTGGGAAAGGCAGTGACAGAAATCTTTAAAACTAACAAACCTCAGAGTCCCTAAATCAAATGAAAAATAATTTAATCAATTACAAGTTTATTTTGCAAACGCATATGTTTTTAGATCAAGCCTCCGGAAACCTGGATTCTGGAAGGACTATAATGAACAAATTCCCCTCATCAATCTATATTGCTCATTATTGACTTCTAGAAAACTTGCAAACACACATCCATACACATATATCCCATACACATGCGTACACATGCCTGCATACATGTGTAACATGTGTTTGCAAATGCACGTGTGTAAATAAAACCTGCATACAAAATCTGGAAGACTATACAATAATCTGACAAGGAACCTCATCTCTGAAGGTGGGAGAGGGGACTTTATTTACTTTATGTAACTATCTTAAAAAGAAGTATTACATTAAACATGGATCATTTCTGTAGTCATCTTGATGGCTGTCTACTCTTTTCTTTTTAATGCTAATGACTGAATCCAGGGCCTCAAGCATGCTAAGCATGCACTGCTGCTGAGCTACATCCACAGCTGCCACCTGCTTTCTAGTCATCCGCATATGAGGCCAAATCAACCAAATGAACTCTTAATCTGTGGGGCTCCTCCCACTTCTGATCCTTCATCTCTTGGCATCTGGAAACTTAGGAACTCACTTAACTGACTAGGTTAGGATAAGGGGAAATAGTCTCTCCAGACCAAATATAATTTCGCAAAATTGAGATCTGCTCTTTCACTCATTCAGCTTTCTTTTCTGAGCACTTTCTCTTAGCTTCCTGTCTGTTTTTCTATCTATAATCCCTACTCACAAAGTACACTAATATCCAATGCTTCTCTCTCAATCACATCAAAGACTTTCATTGGCTATTTGATCCTTTGGTTCTCATTCTTAGGTGCACATTACAATCACTGGTGAGATTTTCAACCTCTCAGTGTCCAGGCTGCATCCCAACCAATTTAATCAGAGTTCCCAGTGGTGGGACAGAGGCATCAATATTTTCCAAAACTCCCACGTGATTCTCATTCACAACCAAGGCTGAAAAGTGGCTTAGAGAAAGGGATTGACAGAGAATCACTGCTCTAAGCTAATTACAGCTTCAGGAGTTTGTTTTATGACCTTTCCAAAAAAGATGCATATTTTAACAGGGGACAAAGACTTATACTAAAAGACTGAAATCCAAAAAGACTATATAAAACAGCCTTACCGAAGACAGAAGCCAAAGACCATCTCTACCTTCTTTCCTTGAAGAGAAGGAGAAAAATGGAAGAACTTAAAGATCAATTATTTCAAACTATTTATTTGAAATCTATTAGAAAGCTAAACTTTGCTATAAACTGGAATGCTTCCTGTTGTACACCAAGATATGCCAGTTCCAACTTTACAATTACCAATGTCAGAAGTGGTAGTAGCCATTCCAACTCCATGAGAAGGCTATAATGCAAACAACTTCAAAAGTCTTCCCAGAGCCCAAATCTCAGCTGCATAATCATTTGATTCAAAAGGTTAAAATTATGTGGTTTCAATCAGAGCTGGGGGTCCCCAAAGTTCAGCATTTGGGGATAAATGACTGAAGGAATTTTGCAATAATTGATAGCTACAGATTCCTTCAAGGCAGCCTGACTTCTTTCCATTTGCTCCTGGATCAAATTTCATCCAAACTAAAGCAAAAAGAAGTCACAAAAGGCGGGACTGAATAGAATTTGAGAAACCTTCTTTGATAAGGGGATCTCTAAATGCAGACATTTTGATAATAAGCCTTTAGCTTGCATCACATAAATTTAAATGCTTAGACTCCCACAGATTCATGCCAGTTGCTAGCAAGAAAGATTTGGACTTCACTTTTGTAACAGTAGTCAAGGTCTGTATCTTCTTGACCAAGTCTGTTGAACAGGGGTTCTGTCGCATAAAATTTGTCATTCATACTGTAGTCTATTTAAGCTCTACCTCCTGGGATTACAGGAGACACACTCAAATGCTATCCAAGCCATAGCTATACATAATTGATAACACTTAGACAAGTCTTCTGTCTAAAATAAAACTCTCTTAGAACCAACCTGAAATAGAGTCTTATAGGTTATCAGTGTTGGGACCCAGAGAGACACAGCAAGATTGTGTACTAGATGACCATGGCTGGACAGAGAAACCAAAGTAAACAGGCTTAAAATACCAGAACTTACTGATGATGGTGAGGATGTAGCTCCCACAAGAGAAATTCAGCACGTTCCTAACCACTTTAGACTATGTTTGCATTCTTTGTAAAATAGAAATAGTAACACCTTGTTTACCAGTTTGTTGTAAGGATTAATGGAATTTTTAAATGATATTTCTAGCATAATAAATACTCATGTGTTGTCTTCTTAATAAAATTATTGCTATTAATATTTCTCAAACTATTATGGAACCCAAAAGAGTATTAAATAGAAAGAATGAAACCACTAACTCCACAAATGTTACACAAATATATATGATCTACACAAATATAATATATATATATAGTCATTTTTTAATCTTTCTAACAAAATACTAGTGTGAAAGATTCACACAGAGTTTTATAACAAGGATGAAGTTAGACAACCCATGTAGTTTTATCCTTCTGCCTCTTGTTAGATAAGCCATCTAAAAAAGTCTATTTGACCAGCATCCATCTTGAGAACTGATTACCCTTTCAGTCACTAAATATGAAGGAAATTTCTGAATATAACTGAATTATGTTCAGTCTCTATTAAATGCCTCTTTATGCTCTCAGCTTCATGCACATTTAAAAATCTTTTCAAGTGTAGTCTATTAGGATTACTGTAACAAAACAATGCAGGCTAGGTGGGTTTCTTTTTCACAGTTCTGGAGGCCAGAATCCAAGGTCAACAGGTGTGGTTTCTCCTAGGGCCTCTCTTCCCGGCTTGTAGGTGGCTACTTTCTTGTTGAGTCTTCACATGACATGTCTTCTGTGCACACAGGCTCCTGGCATCTCTTCTTCTACTTATAAGGACATCAGTCTGTCAGATTAAGAAGTCACCTTTATGAGCTCATTTAACCTTAATCGTGTCCTGAAAGGCATTGTCTCTAAACAGTCATATTGAGGATTAAGGCTTCCACCTATGAATTCTAGGAAGAAAGGGTTCAGTCCATAATAGAAATCACTTTAGAAAGGCCCTCCGGTATTTATATTTTCCTGCTCTTTTCTTTTGCAACATTCAATAGGAGACACAAAAAGAGGAAACAAAGCTAGGGCTCATCATTAAGTGGAGAAGAGGTTTTCCCTTATGAACATAGGGCTCACAGGGCAAAAAGACAAGCGATGTCTCAAGGTAGTGCACAAGGGATGAGGCGATAAGTGGAGCTACCATTGGGAGCATGCAAGCACCAGAAACATCCTGTGGAGAAAACAGAATGTCAACAACCTGTCCATTAAACATATCACTCAATTTCGCATGTTGGTTGGTTTACTAATCAGGAACAGACATGAAATGTTTACAGCTTCAGCAAACAAAATCCCACCCCTCCCCCTACTCTCACATGAGGCCTCACGTGTGCTTACCATCAGGCATCACTGGGCGTCATTCCATCTGCAGGCCTGCTCCAGAGGCCACACACATATCCAGTTTCATCACATTCCCCTTCTTTGTACGCAATTTCTAGGCGGAGCCTCCCTTCCTTCAGGATCTGCCACTCTCTGGAGTGCAGGTTCTTTCTACCTATTCCCAAACCATCTTATTTAATGCTAACTGCACCACTTCTTTGGCTGTGAATCTCATCATCCATAAAGTGGAAAGGATGCCCCATTGTCTAGGTTTTCAAGGGGACTACACAGAAATTATGTTGTAAGCAGCTCATTCTCAGATGTGGAATAGACATGGAGTACATGCTTAATTAATGTACTTACTCTTTTTTCTGGTCAAAATAATTGAGTGGACATTTGAAAGCAGGGTGGAGGAGGTTAGTAAAGGAGACTGTTGGTGGCCAACTCCCTGGATCAGCCCAAAGAACAGGATAAGATCTCAGAATGCCATATTAGATCCACAGAATATGCTCCTTTTACAAGTGACAGTCACCAACTTCTCCTCAATCCAGGTAAAGGGAAACTGAAACAGGTCATAAATGAGGAGCAACAGATTGCAAACAACCAGAATATGTTCTGAAGTTGGAGGGATGGGTGACTAACATTGTTGAGAACAATCCCAAGACCAGGACTGTGGTCTCTCTCAGAGCCTAGGCAGCACAGGCCACTGAATACTCAACCCAAAGGAAATACAATTTCCTGATTTTGATAACTCTGACAAGCACAAGTCACCTGTTCATTCGTTATACTTACATGAGCTCACACAGTTCAATTTACACAGGTACAGCCAATCAATAAAGGACAAGATAATGATAGAGGCATGACATTCAAAGTGCCCTACTGGGGTTGTAGGATTACAGAAGGGAGACCAGTACTAAGGAAGAATTACGCATATCCCTGCCTCTAAGCCCTTAGTCTAGTGAGGCAAATGAGACAGAGGACAAGAAAAATAAAAATCAGAACTGGAAAACTTGAGCTGATGGGAACAGTCAGGAAATGAATCAGATATGTGAGTTTTCCAAAGAACTCCATACAATGCAAACTTTGGCTATGACCACGAGATTTTCTCACTGTAATTTTGGACCTTTTCCCTGAGTCTTTGACTGTTTGCGCTCCTGCTACAATTCTCACAATTTGTAAGTTTTTCCTAGAAATAAACAACCTGAGTGGTTTGTAATAATCTGCCTTTTGGGTCATCGCAAGGTTTCTTACAGACAATTCAAAAGGCTTTTTTAAGCACTAGCTTATACTAACTTGCACCAAACTAAAGATTGTAGAGAATACCAATTAAGTGGTAGCATCAGTCATTTTCTGTAAGGAGCTTACATTCAGTGGTGTGCTTGTGAAGGCCATTTATTAAATAGTCAGGGATTTTGTGGGCTGGTTGCTAAACAGAGGTGTGGTACTTGAATGATGGTTCTCCAAAACATATTCATGTACTAATCCCTGGAGCCTGAGATGATGAAAAAAGGACTGTACGGATATGATTAAGTTATGGATCTTGAGACAGGGAGATGATCATGTGCACACTAAAGACAATCACATACATACTTGTGAGAAAGCTGCTCTAGGGGATGAGACACCCACAGAAGAGCATAAGCCACTGCAACCAGGAAGACAGAAATTGGAGTGATGCAGCCACAAGCTAAGCAATATCAGGAACCACCACCAGAAGCTAAAAGAGGCAAAGAATGTGTTCTCCCCAAAAGCCTCCAAGGGGAACAGTCTTCGAACACCTTGATTTCATGTCAGTAAAACTGATCTCAGACTTCTGGTCTCCAGACCTGAGAGAATAAATATTTGATGTTTTATGATACTTAGTTATCACTTGTTCTAGCAGCCATAGAAAATAAAGGCTTGGGGCTTAGCCACGATGGGTGTGTTTACACTGTAGATATTTATAAATGCTCTAAATTAGAACTTTTAATTTCAGAGAGCTGGTTTGCTTCCATTATCCCTGGGTATTCCAGACTTAGACAAACAACTACGGAACATCACTTTATGGCATAACATGGTGTGATGTGCTGTGATCTGATGGGATATGGCATGTCACACTGGAAAACCACAATGTGTGGCCAAGTTCTTCGATCTGAATCCTCTCCAAAATGATTCTGTCTGCCTTATGTAGATCTGTTTACTTTTCTCTGTGGTCTCCTTCTCTCCAAAATGTAAGAGCCTCAAGATAAACTCATTCATTCTAGGAACATTAACTAAGTATCTACTATCTACCAGAAATAGTACTGAAGGTACAAAGGTGAATAACACATGGTGCCTAACATTGAGGAATGGATACTCGTGACATCAGATAGCTATGACAAAAACATTCTGGTGTGAGGGTGAAGATCAAGGGTGACCACTGAGGTGTTTCCATCTCTGTTATTTCCCCTTTTTCTGATCCAGTGCTAAGTCATGGAGATATTATAACACAGAATTCAGTGGTGGGACCTTTGAGAGATGTTTAGATCATGAGAATAAAACCCTCATGAATGAGATTGGTCTCCTTAAAAAAAGAATTACCAGAAAGCTGCCTCAACCTTGGCACCATGTGAGGACACAGCAAGAAGGCACTATCTATGAACCTGAAAGTGCGCTTATCAATCAATCTGCCAGCACCGTGATCTCAGAATTCCCACAAAGTTCAAACCTGTGAGAAATAAATGTCTCACACTGTTATAATCCACCTAT